TTCCATTTATAATCATGTATGATTATATATAATCTTGCTTGGCTGTATGTTGCTCTATATATAGTCATATATAATTATATATGATTATAAATAACCTCATATACAATTTCATATATAATCATGTATGATTATATGTAATTATATATGATTATATATAATTCTATATAATTATATATGATTATATATGACCTCATATACAGTTCCATTTATAATCATGTATGATTATATATAATTCTATATAATTATATATGATTATATATGACCTCATATACAGTTCCATTTATAATCATGTATGATTATATATAATTCTATATAATTATATATGATTATATATGACCTCATATACAGTTCCATTTATAATCATGTATGATTATATATAATTCTATATAATTATATATGATTATATATGACCTCATATACAGTTCCATTTATAATCATGTATGATTATATATAATTCTATATAATTATATATGATTATATATGACCTCATATACAGTTCCATTTATAATCATGTATGATTATATATAATTCTATATAATTATATATGATTATATATGACCTCATATACAGTTCCATTTATAATCATGTATGATTATATATAATTCTATATAATTATATATGATTATATATGACCTCATATACAGTTCCATTTATAATCATGTATGATTATATATAATTCTATATAATTATATATGATTATATATGACCTCATATACAGTTCCATTTATAATCATGTATGATTATATATAATCTTGCATGGCTGTGTATAGCTCCATTTATAGTTATGTATAATTATATATGATTATATATAACCTCATATACAATTCGATATATAATCATGTATGATTATATATAATTATATATGATTATATATGACCTCATATACAATTCCATATATAATCATGTATAATTATATATAATTATATATGGTTATATATAATTTTATATAATTATATATGTGATTCCCTATATAATCATATATGATTATATACAATTATATATGATTATATAGAAAAATTTTTTCTCGGGTTGTGATTTCTGCATTCATAATAATGAATTAATCCTATTGTCATGTTAAATTTCACACTTTTTGGCTTTCATTTTTGTGATTCTTAGTAAATTCTGTCGTCGTATCCTTAGAATATTGAAAAAGTTTAAAATTTTATTTTTGTTCATTGCAATATTAGCGTATCAATACATCTCTTTTTTAACAGATTATTATTTTCAAAATTATCTTTACTCACTATTACAATTGAAAAGACTTATGGAACGATTATTTTATAAAATAATTATTTCTTAAGAGATCGTAATCTTCTATTTTATAATTAATATGCATTAATCTTTTTGTAGATCTGAGTCAAAAATTATCGCAGTTCTCAATTTCTAATGAAGGAAGTAGCCAATCATTAAATCAATCTGAAAAACGACCTTTGTCAGATTACGAAGATGAGTTTCCACAAGCTAAAAAGAAACGTAAGGTTGATGTTATAACTGAAGTTCGTAGCAGTACTGGATCGCACTAAAATCAGTAATCGGAGTGCAATGCATATTATTTCTGCTGTCATTTTTATCGTACAAAATTTTATCTTACACTGCACAAAATTTTTATTTTATCTTTTTCTGCACAAAATTTTATCGTACACTGGGACGGTAAGTTACTTCCGGAACTTTCAAATCAGCCAATGAAAAAAGTCGAAAGACTTCCTATTGTTGTTTCCGGGGTGGATGTGGAACAATTACTCGGTGTACTTGCTTTAGATGAATCTACTGGAGCTAATGAAGCTGAAGTTATTTTTGAAGTGTTAAATGAGTGGAATGTTACTGACAATATAGTGGGGATGTGCTTTGACACTACTAGTGTAAATACTGGTAAATTTTAACTTTAATTCAATTTATATATATACTACTTGTAAAAATTGAAGTAACAAAAAATTTATTAATTTTCATTTGCTAATTTAATTTTTACGATTAATTTATGATTTCAATTATTTGATAATTTTGACTCTTTGTTCAAGGTGATAAAAGTGGTGCGTGTATTCTATTAGAAAAAAAATTAAATAAAGAGTTATTCAATTTGGCTTGCAGTCACCATATTTTTGAAATAATGTTGAAAAATGTAGCAGCAGTAGCGTGGCCAAGTACTAATAGTCCTAATGTAATGATTTTTGTCAGATTTAAAAGTAATTGGGAAAAAATAGACAAGTTAAAATATAACATCGGTACGGAAGATGTTATAATTAAAGATATTCTGGACGAAAAAAAAAGTACTCTGCTACCCTTCATCGAAGATCATCTACAGTTAAAAATATTGTAAAGTTTTTTACTAATGGAAAAAATTATTGTTGAGTTGTGCTTTGTTTCTCTCACTGAGTAAACAATTTTTATATTTTAATATTAACTACATTTAATTTTTACAGAATCGAATTTCAAGAGATGACTATCATGAACTTTTGAGGTTGAGCTACATTTTTTTAGGACGTGTACCAAACAAAAGTGTAAAATTTAGAGCTCCTGGTGCTATGCACCATGCTCGTTGGCTATCGAAAGCTATCTATAGTTTAAAAATATATATGTTCAGAGAACAATTTCACGTCAACCCTTCAGAATTATTAGCTTTACAAGAAGTTTACTTATTTATTGTTTTTTTTTATGTTGAAGCATGGTTCGTAGCAACAAGTGCTATTGAAGCTCCGTATCATGACTTGAAACTATTTCAAAATTTATTAGAGTATAAAAAAAATCACGCAAAAGTTGCAGAAGCTGCTTTAGAAAAACTTTCCAAGCATTTGTGGTACTTAAACGAGAATCTTACAGGCTTGGCGCTTATTGATCAAAAATTATCCCAAGAAGAAAAATTAAAAATAGTTGATTCTATTAAAAACAAAAAATCGAGCAATAGTAAATATTCTCGATTTACTTTAGACAGGAAAAAGCTTGAAATAATGTCGTCTAAAAGTATAAGTGATTTTGTGACTCAAAAATCTATCACGATTTTTGATCAGTTTAATTTGACGTGTGAATTTTTAGACATCGACCCTGATTTGTGGGAAACAGATCAAGAATACATTACTTGCTGCGAAACTTTCAAAAAACTACGTGTTGTTAATGATACTGCCGAACGATGTGTTGCACTCATTAAAAAATTTAACGAATTTGGTACATATGATGAAGATCAGAAACAATATTTATTATTAACGGTTCAACAATGTAGAAAAGACTTTCCAACGTGCGCCAAAAAACTATATTCAGCTTCAAAATTTTGATGTGTTTTCAATAACACTAGTAATTATTTGAAATTAATTAACTTGTTTTTCATGACTATTTAGATGTTTATCACATTTGAAGCATTTTACATAAGAATGTAACCTTCTGTACATTTTCATTAAATTTTTGTTGCTTTTTTATGAATTCATGTGTTGTTTTTGTATTCATTATGAGTAAAAAATCATACTAATTTTAAAAAAGTTCTTAGTGTAGGGAAATATAATGGCAATAAATAGAAAAAATGAATCTAAATAACATTATGAGTTAGTATTTATCAATTTCTTACGTTTCCCGCTATAAAAATGGCTGTAAATTTATTAAATATTGGTTGAATGACTTTTTTTTTAAGAGTCAGTCCTTTTTTTCTTCCTACCATTGGTGATTTGCTCGAAAAATTAAAAGAAATTATATTTTTTTCAAAAATTGTACTTTGACGACTCCTACCGGTGAACCAGTGCGAGTTACACAAAAAAACTTTAAGGCTTTCTTGAAGAGCGTGAAATTCCCCACAAGGTCCATCAAACCGATTTGCAATATTGTAATAGCCGGCTAAGCATTAGAAATTTGAAAAAAAAAAAATTTTTTTACATGCATTCTAAATGGTAAAACTTTAAATTTTTATTGTAAGTACTTAAAATTAATATTAAGAGCTCAAACTTGGTAGGAATTTTTTTTTCTGTATGTAGATTAATATTTTTCATGAGCACCGAAAAAAAAAAAAATTTTGCGGAAATGAATCACCCTAATATATATGATCTACATAACTTCCAATAGAAGATTATTATCAATTACCATAAAACACGAACAATGATTGTAATATTGATAATATACATCCGATTTAATTTATATTTATTTTGCCTTTTACATAATCAGTTCTTATAAATATAATTAGTTGTATGACACTAAATGCTCATTTGAGTTCGTTTTATTTGATTACATTATTGCAGTATGCATTAATCTAACTATTACTTGAAGTTTTCAACGACTGTTTTTGATATGATAACAATTTTTGTAAAAATCATGTTATCTACCATACTGTTGATTGCAATATAGTCCAGTTTTCAAGCGCACAGGTATTTTATAAATTAAAGTGCTACTTTTCAACATCTAATTCTATTAATCAATAATTCCTTGGTACAGATTAATTTTTGTAATTAATTTTTTAGAATTTATACGATGTAGTCGTAGAAGATGTGGTCGTCGTTACTTACAGCGAAGAGTATATGTCAGAACCAGATTTTTATTTAGACGATTCGAACGGATTATTTGCGAATTGGTCAATAGTGAAAAAGTTTCCAGAAGGTACTCAGGTAATTTATTCTTGTGCATGCACTTTATAATTGGAATTGAGAATTTGTCTGATGAGACACAGGGTACAGGTCTATGTATACACTACACTCGTGTAGATATTTCACACTCTTTACAATTATACTACTCATTATTTCTTCCAGTGAATATTTTTGTTATTTTTTTTTAGTAATTATTTTAATGAGTACACGGAAAGAAATCCTCTCTAAAAGTTACCCGGGACATTATACCGCCCTTTTATTTATTACCATTTTTGAAATAAAAATTATGAAAAAATTCATTAATTTTATGGTAGACTTCATAAAATTTATCGAAATCTTAATCAAATTTACAGTAGACTACGGTATAATTTTTTATTTGGACTAATCTAATATATATATACCTACGTAAACTTTTGAGCCAATGCTATTTTTCGGCATAACTCAATGAAATAAAACATTATTTTTGTTCAAATTACCATGTAAGACCGACTACACTGTAAAAAATTTTTTGGACTCGGTGTGGTGTAAATGATTCGGTGTAAAAATTTTTAACACGGACGGTGTGAAAATCACAGTAAGTGTAATGTTAAATTTGAACGGCGTGTTCTAAATTTTACACCATCAAACGTGTAAATGTATTTCTTGAAATTTCTCATAAATTAATATAATTTGATCGTTTAGTTTCAGGCTTGTACGATATTAGATTTTAAATATAAACACGTAGAAATAAATATTTTAAAGTATATTTTTTTTGACATTATGTTATTTTACGGAGTAAAGTAAAAGTTTTATGGTTAAATTTGGTATCGTTGGAAAAGTTTTGACCTGGAGTTGTGTTTTTTCATGGTTTCATATCATTCTCACCAATAGTCAATTTATGATGATAAGTATTTAGGCTGCATTCGAAAATGCTCTATTTCTAAATACATAATTAAGAAATGACCTTGTATCTTGTCAACTACTGACATTTTTTAAGATATAAGCTCATCTCGATCTTAAACTCATCACGACCCTTCATTTAAGTACCCATATCATTTTTTCATATATTTATATATATTATATATATATATGTATGTATGAAAAATATATCAAAATGCATGTGGGTACTCAAATGAAAGCTCTTGATGAGTGTATCATCGGAATGAGCTTATCTTTAAAAAAGTCAATAGTTAAAAAAGTACAGTGCAATTTAACAAAAGTCATTATTCACTAAAGCAAAATTTTATTTATTTATAGTTCACAAGTCACAGCAGTCACATATTAAGTTTGCAAAGTTATAAATAATAACACGGAATAGTGTAAAACAGTAAAATTACACCGTGTTAAATTTACACGAGTGAAAATTTCACACGAAGGAAATTTTACACCGACTTTTCACACTTACACGACGGTGTAAAAGTCTCTGAGTCCAACTTTTACACCGAAATTTTTTACAGTGTAGAATAGCTCGACTTCGAATGAAATCTATCCAAAAATGGATCACACCACTTTAAAAGTACACAGAAAAAAATTTTACACCGTCATTCTACATCGTGCAGTATTTTCGAAATCATTTTTTTCACCGAAATTTTCTAGAGAGTTTTATTTCTAGGTAAGATTTTCAATAAAGGCAGCGTCAATGGGTGAATATGTAATAGACTTCGGAATCGATAAAATTGCTGATCTCTGTTATTCTTTTGAAGAACCTATACTTTTAGGTCCATTTTTTAGAGCAATAGGATTTGATCCGGACAATTGCCCACCTGATGTTGTAAGATATTTTAAGCTATGAAAATTATGAGTAAACTTTGACATCGCGAATCGAATAAGTTGACCAAGACTAACGGGAAGTAAAATTCAAAACTTCTAACGATTTGTGTTGATAAAGTCTATGTGTGTCGTTTTGCTGTCAATAAATTTTTTTTCTAATACTTAAATTATTTTTCAAGGTGTTTACGGATGCGAAGATTATCACACGCCTGTAGACCAACTACCACATATTTTTGTGCCAAACAATTATAATGATATTGTTGAAATATTTTATGAAGAACAAAAATTATTAATTGTGCATATATTTATCAAGATTGTGTAGTTTAAAAATTGTCAAATAATTGATTGCAATTATTTTTTGCTGAATTTATTACTTTTACCTTTCCTTAAATATATATATATATATATATATATATATATATATATATATATATATATAT